AGCTCCACGAAAGGCTTTATATTATGTCCAAGACCTGGAAACCTTGATGGGCTGAATTTTCTAACTGTATTTTCAAAATTCAAATTTCAAATTGAAATGTCCAGATACCACAAGGGAGGGGCGACAACATGCCTAGAGCTTAGTGAGTACACATGAGATGTTAGCAAACTCAGCAATGAACTTAACATGGAGCAAAACCATTTGACTGAATGTCAGATGAGGATATTCACGCTGTTCACTACTGATGCATTCAATGTCATCCAGTGACCTTCAGTATAAAGTGTAGAAATCACCTCAAATCTCTGTCTTTGTAGTCTAGAGAATTACTCATCAAGACCCATGTGCTGTTATATTTACTAGGACATTGGAAAAAAAAGTGTGATATGATGATATGATATGAAGGAGGTGGAGCTCAGCTCTAACGGGCTCCGGCCTAATTTGGCCCCCCTGGTCATATGAGCAAAAAGCATCAACTAAATTCAAGCCATTCAAAGATTCAGATTGTGCATCAAATGTCTCTCTGTTTGTCGTAAATCTTTTCATTTCAATGACATGTGATGTAAAAACACAACAACAGTTCACGTCCCATCCAGACATCCAGACTAAACAGGCCGTAAAATGCAGCCAAATAAAAAGGTTCAGAGTCAACCTGAAAAAAACAACCTGTCACTTTCCATTGTCCGGAGAGTTTATCTTGTGTTGAGATAATGAAATCAGTCCCACCATCCCCCTCCCACAAGTTAAGTGACCTCCTGTGACCTGGGCAGCCCCCCCCCCCCCCAGAAGACCAGAGCTACAACTACCATTGTTCTGTTGTAGGCCGACAGACAATGATGATGTTACTGCTGAAATGCTTTTGGGAAACTGGGTTTCCGATGAGTCAGTGTGTGAGCTGAGGAGTGTGTGTGAAGAGTTCGCCCAGGACATGATGGGAAAATCTCTGCACCGTGCTGGTGATGACACATCATGCATCACACGGGGGCTGACTATATACAAGACTGAATCTGTTTAAGCTTCCCTCCCTTTTTGGAGATAATGGATCTGGCTGCGGTCTCGTGTTTCTTCTTCTGCACTTTAAGAATTACAAAACAGAGGCACAGGAACAGGAACAGGGTTGTTGGGCCTAGTTGCATGATTTGAAAATACAGTTCCTGCTTTAGATGAAAGGGAGCGCCACCAGTGACTGATGAGGTCAATCGGCCTGTAATGAGCTTGTCAGTTATTTTACCGTGCAGCTCTTAAAGCGGCTTGTTAAACACGCATCAGCCTCCGCTCTGTTTCCACTGACGTGTTTTCAGAGACGACGTGAACGCGTTCTCTTCAATCCACCGTGACCTCAAGTTTTGTGCTGCGATTGGAGCTACACAGTTGTAGCTGCTCTAGGTTAAAGATGCAAACCCCCCCCCAAAACCCAGGCACGATGTGAGCCTATTTAACATCACACACTGGAGGGAGAATGAATGAGACACCGGTGTGAAATAACAGGTGTTAAAACAAGCAGAGACTATCCTGCAGCGTCCAACAGTTAAGGACTCAGTGGAGGGCCCTACATGTGAATGTAAGTGATCATCTCTCTCTCTCTCTCTCTCTCTCTCTCTCTCTCTGGTCCTTCTGTGAACGATCCGTGGTGGCATCGCTCAACACGAAGCTTCCTTTTACAGCGCCTCAAATGGCCACGAACGTCTCACCACTTCATCCCTGCACATGAATAAGTTTCAGTCCACAACACACCCGACCTCTGTGGCCTCACAGTGCTCAGATCGCTGATGCTAAAATCACATTCATTACCATTAACTGCCATTTGTTGAGGTGAATCTTTGAGTAAGATCTGATTTACATTTCATTTGATTGTCATTTGAATATGTTTGAGCCACAGAGCTGTCGGACAAGTGAGCTAATTTAAAACATCACTTCATGGACCCGTGCTCCAACAATTATTTTATGTCATTTAGCAAGAAAAAATTTTAAATCCTTCATTTATCTATTTCACATCATTGTCCCTTGAAAATCTTCAGGCGTTGTGCTGTTGATCACACAAAACAAACAATTTGAACATATCACGTTGTGTTCAGGGAAACAATAAATTTTCACTGTTTTGTCATCTAATAATACATAAGTGATTTTAATTTTACAGGCCAGACAATTAATAAAAACAGATTCATTTATAATGTAACATATATAGATTGTAATATGTAATCATAATATAATAATAATAATATATTATAAAATGAGTCGAAGGGTGGGAAGGATTTTTTTTGCATATTATGGGAAATATCATGATTTTCGATATTATCAAATATCAGCTCAAGCATATTGGTTGCAGCCCCATTATGGACTCCATTATTAATATAAATATTCTTCTATAATTAATATAATAGGCTCAACAGCAGAACAAGAATGTGATTTCACTTCAACTACAAACTCCACGAGTGACATATGAATTTGTGAGACTGACAACAAAACAATTCAAGACAATTTGCTCTTTTCTGTCGGTGATGTCACAGTTTCCTGTTTCCTGTGCCTAAAAAAATAAAAGGAGAAAAAGGAGAAATCCACAATTTTATGTGTGCGGGTGTCAGCCCCTCAGGATCAAAGAGCAAGGTTCAACCTACATTATGTTCATCAGTCAGAAAGGAACAAGCACATCCTCATCCTACATCGTCAATAGACCAGAATGCACTGCAGCCACGAGACATGCCGCAGCATCCCTTCAGTTTTTTTCAAACCTTGTTACTCCTCCGCCTACCGCCAAGCATGCAAACATCCACTTCTCTCGGGGTTGTGTAAAGTATAAACTTATTGCATTGTGGTTCAGTCAGTCACATATTGTGTTAAACTACAGTGTGTTCAGCAGCAGGTCAGAGGTTTACACAGCGCTTAAGGGAAACAGCAGCAGCTACTCTTCATCCACAGCCTCTAAATTCCAGTGCAAACATTTTTCAACCAAACCACCGAGGCCCCAAAAGAAGCCTCCCTCCCTCCCTCCCTCCCTCCCTCACCCCAACCCCACCACACCTAACACATCCCCACCATGAGGTGACGGCCGCTAAATGCCTCCACTGGTTCGGTGTCTGAGTGAAACGAGGGTCAGAGTGGGATGAGTTGGGGTTGACGGTGTTCTCTCTCTGTTTTATTTTTTTCCTCTACAACTTTTGAGTTTACTCAGCAGGAGTGGGTGGTTGTGGTGGAGCAGGGGGGAAGGAGGGTGGTGGAGGTGGTGGTGGTGGGGTGCTCCTCCCCCTCCTCAGAGTCACTCAGACTTTACCCTCCTCACCCTCTCCTCCTCCAACCCTCCTCTCTGTCCCTGTACGCTAGACTTCATCGGTATTTGCTTAAAAAAAAAAAAAAAAAATCAACCCCCCTCTCTCCCACCTCCTCCTCCTACTTGGCCTATTCTCTCCAACACACACACACACACACACACACACACACACACACACACACACACACACAGTATTTCCAGTATTTGATTCATTAAATTTTCTGCGGATTTCCAGAAAAAAAAAAAGGAGCTAGATCAATAAAGTGGGGCCTGTGTGCACTGTGTGAAAACGGGGGCTACAGCAGCAGCAGCAGCAGCAGCAGCAGCAGCAGACACACAACAGCACACAGGGGTTGGGGTTGTGGAGATGAAAGTGACATGGCCACTATGGGTCTCTGAACGCTGCAGAGCAGAGCAGAGCCCCCGAACTGAGGCTGAATGAGCTGAATAGGCTCATCCATTCTTTACTCCTTTCACTCTCCGTAGGCCCTAACTGTTGGAACTCTTCATTCTTCACAATGGGCAAATGCACTAAAACTTTCTCTTTTTTATTCTCATGCAAATCACCTCAGCCCTGCCTGGGTTTGTCATCATGTGAAGCGGAAAACACACATGCATGTATTCTTACTCAGTTAAAAAAAAAAAAAAAACAAAAAAAAAAAAGACAGACAGAATTATTCCTAAAGCTTCGCAATGATTTTCCAACTTTTCTAGGTCTCATCAGCATGCCAAAAAAAAAAAAAAAAAAAAACACCCATTTGATTTTCAAATGTGACTTAAAGCTTCACAAAAAAAAAAAACAAAAAAAAAAAAGACAGACAGAATTATTCCTAAAGCTTCGCAATGATTTTCCAACTTTTCTAAGTCTCATCAGCATGCCAAAAAAAAAAAAAGTGGGACTTGTAAGTCCACACATGAGTTTAGAGATCATTAGCAGCGCCTGTTAGATAGGGGTAAAAGCCAACAGCAAATATAGCTGGTTAAGGGCCCCACAAAGGCGTCAAGTGTTTGTTGACTGCTCAGCCTGGAGAGCAAATAGTAAACTTTGAATCTTTCATCAAGAGGTACACATCTCCCACAGGCCTGTCAGAGGCAGTAACGTGTCCACGCTGCTGCTGCTGCTGCTGCTGCTGCTGCATTCCGAACCCTCTGCCTTATGTTTTGTTTCTCTGCTTTGTAGCATTAAGAGATTAAAAAATAAAAAGAGAGAGAGAGAGAAAGAGAGAGAGAGAGGGAGAGGGAGAGGGAGGAGTGTGAGAGTGATTGCATTAGTGCAGTGCAGCTTTTCATTCTAAGCATCCAAAGATGAAACAGTGAAAGAAAAAGTGTTTTTCTTCATGTTATGATAAAGATGCATTTGCAGGGTTGTTGAACTGCACTTTTTTTTTTTTTTTTTTTAAACCATAGAATTTCACTTTTGGATCCTGCAACAGTTTCTGTAAAACTATTAATAAAAGCCGTTGGCGCCGAGCTTTCTGATCACATCTCTTCCCATATGGATCAAGTTGCAGGACAAAACATTTTTTGGATTCCTGTGTCAGATAAGTTCAAAGTGCAAATGAGATGTGAAGCTGCCCTGAGCCTCATCTGCTGCTGACACGCCAGGCAGCGGAGGAAGAGGAGAGGAGGAGAAACTCACGAGTAAAACACTTTTTTTTTGCACAGTGGAAATAAAAGACAACACAAAGACATTAGAAAAGCAACTTCTCCCAAACTCCGCCGCCTGTCAGCATCTTACCTCCACTTCTCTTTCCCCCGTCGAAACCGCAGCAGCTCTTCCTCTCTCAAGTCTTTTTTGTCCGAGGAAAAACTTTGCCTGGAGTCGGATTCCCGTAAACTGGGACTAAGCTGGCACCACCATTGAACGCGAAACGCGCATACGAGCCTCTCCGGACTTGACGCGAAACTCCATGAACCGAGTTAGGAAAAGTTTTGGAGCACGCAAAGTCTGCTGCTCGGCATTACCTCCTCCTCCTCCTCCTCCTCCTCTTCTTCTTCTACCTCCGGAGAGAGAGAGAGAGAGAGAGAGAGAGAGAGAGAGAGAGTCTCAGTACGGAGCAGAAGTCGCGTCTAACTTTTTCTTACAATCCATCTTCTCCTCGGAGGTGCGCTCTTTGCGTGCGTGCTGTGCGCGCGTCTTCAGCAAACTAACATGGTGTGTAAAATATCTGCTTCTTTTTTTTTTTTTTTTACTCATAAAAAAAGTTTGGGACTCAAAGCGGTTTGGCTTCACTCGGCAGTTGTTGCAGAGACATGCGGTGGTGTTGAGATCTTCAAGCTGCTGATCTGTTTTCAACCCCCCCTCTCTCTCTCTCTCTCTCTCTCTCTCTCTCTCTCTCTCTCTCTCTCTCTCTCTTCCCCCCCTTTACCATCTCCTCCTCTCTCACTCCCCTCGCTCCCTGGTGAGTTGGGCCATTTGCTGCACCAGATGGGCCGGGCTAACTCAATCCAGCAGTTGTAGACGGGAGAGAAGTTGGATAAAGTTTCATTTATTGCGCGATTTTTCACGGGCTTCATTGTTGGGGACGTTGGTTGGAGTCAGCTTTGCGCGCGGGGGTTTTAGAGCCGCGTTTTAAAAAACACAGATTTCAATCAGTTACAACAGAGCCTTTGTTGACAGTAGCCTCTCACCTACAGCAGGTCTTTACAGTTGGAAAAGGCTCTTGGAGCAGTGATTCTGTGAGTGGGTGGACGGATAATCAAGGCTCTCTCTGATCTTGAACAAACCAAACTCAACATTTACCAACAAATACACCCAGAGCCTATAGTTAAAGCTACAGCTTGTTGATTCAAAAAAGTAGACAGTAAACAATCTTCATAATTCATGCTTTGTTTATTCCCATCCAGGCTTTTTCATCTCTGCTGGAACCTTTTATTCGGCAGTGATGTGCTGCGGACAAACAGCATTCATTATGTGATTCATGTAGATTTCACCTAAAGTCACCCTGTACTCTCCTGTGCATTTAAATGCTCATTTAGTTTTTTTTTTTTTTTTAAGTAACAGTTATTTTTAAGAGCAGAAAGGAAATTATGAAAGTGGTGGATTCAGATCCTTTAATAAAGAAAAAGAAGCAATAACACAGAATAAAATTCATTATGATTCAAGTCCTGAAATCACAATCCCACTTCAGTAAAAGCAAAGTACAGTATTAAAAATGAAATTTCTCCATATACAGAAACAAATAGAAAATAGAAATACAATAGAAAATGGAAAAAGTACCTGAAATGTACAGTACAGAGTAAAAATAACTTTATGTTCCACATGTGAATCTGGGTCTCAGACATAAGCTGCATGTTTTCCTAATTCATCTAATTGATGAATTCAAGTAATGGACAGTCACAGTCAGTTATCCCTTTATCTTCAATTGTAGCCTAATACTTATATTCTGCACCATGCACCAGGACGCTACACCCCAGTTCAGTTTAATACAGTACCTGCTGTAACTCACTATAGACCTAAAAGTATTCATCTGATATGTTGGTGGGATTGCCCCGTCCAGATCCAGAAGATCCTCTGACACTACAACACAGAGATGCTGCAGTCTGTGTCTCTGCCTCTGGAGCAGCTTCCAGACGAGGTCGGATCAGATGATTCACTTGACAGCTTAAAAACGAAAATCTTAAAACCTTCAGTTTTTTCATAGCTCTTATGTAATGTAATTTACTGGTATCAGAACTTATTATTATGTCAGATGTGGGCCTTTGAATTTTTTTCTCACGTCTTATTTTTGTATTTTTTTTAACTTTTCCAGCACTTTGAGTTGCACGTGTATGAACTGTGCCACACAAATAAGGTTATTATTATAAGACTACAGGATGTGGCCACTGAGTTCATCGTGTTTAAATGTGTGCACTGTAGTGTTCATGTATTGTATAATTTATTCATGTGTGATATTCACAATGATCACAGAGCTGTCTGGATCCTTGGTGTGTTCTAGAGTCAGGGGTCGATGATCCAGACGTATCAACCCCACGACGTCAACACCACAGACTAACAGCTGACATTCATCCTGCAAACAAAGACAAATCACTGCTGCATGTAACATTTACCGTGGAGTGTCCCTCAACCAAAGCAAAGAAAATAAAACAGGTTTTCGTGTCTTTTCATTATTTTAGCATCTTTCAAAAAAATGTTTTTCTGTTCTACTGACCTCCTTTCTTAAACAATGACACAAAGGGAAATATAAAATTTAGAGGATTTTAATTTACTCACATAACTGTCAAAGCGTAATGTCCCAAAAGAAAAAGTACCAGCCTATGTCAGGTGTGTTATGTTAGTATAAATTTTATTAAATAATCCTGCATTCACAGGTGAGCAGCATTTTAGTGTTGTAGTTTATTCCAAGTCGAACCATTTTAAGTGCTTTTCTATATTGTTGGCTTCTTCATAACAATGTATTATGTTTTATAAACTCTATTTCTATTATTATAAATAACATCTCCCACTGAAATGTGAAAAATCAGCGTAAAATAAAATGGAAAAAAGTCAAGTAAAGTAACATCTTGAAGTTGCACACAAGTACAGTAACTGAGCAGAAATCAAACAAGTCGTCCCTCCTGACTCATTCATTCATTCTCCACTCGTTGCTCATCCCTTTATGTTGAGGCTCTCATAGTGTCCGGATGCCCGTCAATCACAAGTACTAAAACCGCACACACACACACAAATAAAGACACATACTCTATAAGAGGCGGTTTAAGGTCTCAGTGGAAGATGTGGAAGAAAGTGACTCACACATGGAAACCAAAGTTCAAACTCCTGAGCTGCTGCTCGGCTCCTCGGACGAGAGACAAAAAGATGAAGAGGATGAAAACACACTGAGTCACAGAGGGATTGTCAGGCCTGGTCGTTCTCTGGGGCTCGAGGTGCTGCCCCCTATTGTCTCTCTGTGCGGCTGCATCATGCCTCAGTGCCCAATCTCAACACCAGCCTGTGCACATGAGCGGCCCCTGCGGTCCCCTGTGCCTCTGTGCCTGTGCACGGCCTCAAAAGGAGGGTGAATGCCAGTGTCAGGCTCGCTGGCCTTCCCTCCCCGTGCTACTATGGTCTTACAGGCAGGAATTTTAATGAGCCGGTCGGCCTTTTCTGATTGGAATAGAGGAATGTAACCGCAAAGTAGAGACAGTAAAGCTGCTGGATCGAGAATCAAAGAGGAGAAACAAGGAGGAAAAGGAACAAAGATGAAGAGGTGAGGAGAAGAGACGCCGTTATTTGAAGTTTGAGAGGATAATAAGATTATGGTTTTGGTCATATTACCTGATGTCTTCTTCTGTGATAACATCTGCAGCCTGCTCATTATTTACCCAGATGTTTATGGGGGAACATGTTGTTTAAATGATCTCAGTTGATAATCTGAAACAAATTCAAACGTGATCTTGTGCTCAATTATAGCCAATAAATGTATGTCTTTACAATAGTTTTGACTGATGCATTGGGTGGTTAATGATCTTTTTTTTAATATATTTCCCTGAGTCATATTAATATGATGAATGTACCTGCACATTTATAATGAAAATTTGCCCATTTAATCATTGAATTGATTAGAATGTTAAACTATATTCTTTTTTTTTTTTTGGTAATTCTTTATATTAAAGGTCCCATATTTTATACATGTGTTTTACCAAAAACCAAAAACCATCTCAATGTAGTTTTACATCTCCTCTCTCAGGCTTCTCTCTTAAGCTCTAGGGACAACAGGACGGTGAGCCAATCAGAAGAGAGGAGGCTCTGAGCCTGTACTTGTGATCAAATACAAATACAGCAGATTTCAGGTAAACGCTCAGAAGCCACGTTTCCACCGCAGGAACTTTCCCCAGAAACCAGGAACCTTTTGAGGGACTATGCACGTTTCCACCGCAGGAACCAGGGTCTAAATTTAGCTCCAGGGTAATTGATCAACCCCCAAAAAAGTCCCTGGTTGGGGGTGGTACTTTCCAAAGGTTCAGGATGGGGGGGGTGTGGTCTGCAGAGCTGAACATTTCTGATTGGTCGAGTACTCACTGCATTTTATTTCACTCGCCAAGTCCACAGTGAGCGAGGACAGAGCGAGCAAACACATTTTCCACACCGCGAAACAAGTCCAGAAGAAGGTAAAAAAACTGAAACAGGCAACCTGAGTGGCGAGAGTTAGCGCCGTCACATATAATATGGGATCATCACGTACTTGAAAATAAAATGCTGTGTCCTGTATTGAATATATACGGGACACACTCTGTCCTGTATTTTCGTTCATGTTATATCCTCAAAGTGCTGTGAATAATATACTGTCAAGTAATAATTTTGCATAATCTTCCTGGGACTTTAGGCCGCGGTGGAAATGCAGACAACAATGGGCCACAGGAACCTTTTAGTTCCTGAAGAAAAGTACTTTTCTTTTTGGTCGAAACATGGCAAGAGAAACTAAATCCTGCAAGGTGGGCGGGGCTTGGGGAATGGCTGAGAAGTGGTGACTGCTTTGTTGTGACATCACAAAGTTCCAGAAGTCCTGACGGCTGGTTTTAAGGCTCAGTTTCTGAATACAGGCTGTGTGCATTTCTCTGTGGACTGAGGCTTTGATACTTTCACAGTATTAATATAGAACCTAGACCTGCTTTATAATCAAACAACACATGGACATCTGCCTTTAGACTATATGGACTTTTTTGACCTGTACAGAAGTTTAAACAGGTTTTTCCTGTCTTAAAATGAAAAAAAATAATGACATCTTTTCACATAAAATTTGTCATAAAAACCTAATACACTGCATTATCTTCCATCACTAGTGCAATGTGCAAAACATAAAAAACTGGTGATTATTTTTGTCATTATGTGTGCTTGATACACAAG